AGGACTTTGCCGAAGCGATAAAGTGGTGCAGATGTTTTGAGTGGAGCACGAGGGCTCATTTTGATATTATATGTGTTTACAACTATCGAGCTTATGTGTTTGGGATAGAATTCCACTCATTTGTAATCAAGGTCCTCGCCTTGAAAGGTATAAGCCCTTAGGACATTTTGTATGTTTTCTCTTATTTCTCAAATTTCATATGTATTGTGAAATTCTCAAATGTTAAAAGTATAGTACATGTCACGACCCAAACCTGCCTCTATAGGTTTAGTGTCGTAATCAACCAGTAATCTGAGATTACCAAAGGCCTAACTGAAAAGATCAAACAAGTGGGGCTAGTGGAAGCTAATATAAAAGAAAAGAAATCGTCCAATGAGCTGTGAGAACTTACATGAAAGAACATGCATTATGCTATATATACATATATATATACATGTTCACAACCAAACAAATCAAGAGTCTCCAAATACAAATAAAAAAGGAAGACATTTTCTTCTTCACAGAAATAACTCCATTGTAACCCGACCATAACACGAGAGTGGGTCTCAAAAGAGGTGAACACTGGGCCACCCAAACATTTCAACGGGTAGGAACCTCGCCGCGAGGCAGAAAAGGGGTAGTTTAACAAAACCAAGGCAAGGTCGTTGCCACTATGTCCCCTCCTGAACTGGATTGCCTACATAAAATGTAACAAAATGTGAGCTAAAGCTCAGTGAATAACAGTTGTGTAAATGGGTTTTGAATGATAATCATAATGTAAAGTAATTTACATACTGAACAGATTCTTATCTCATACTGAAAGCATAATGTCATACGTGGTACATCCAAAAGCAACTAATATAGGCGGTCTAAAAGATTGAACAGATGGTCATGAAGACCGATAATCAGATATGATGGCCATCACTCTTGTAAACCAGAGTTCTTGAAATTGGAACTGACAGAGATCTCTGTAACAATGATAGTAAACAGGTGCTAAGGATGCCACGAATATAATTCAAGAAAATAGGATCATCATTCATTAAGTAGAAGAACCATTTCAAAACAGAGAATAATGTATCGCAAAAAATAATTACTTTTACTTAAACATATCTTTACAACAGTGTTACTCACAGTTGGCTCCGCGATGCACGTGACCGGGACGTGGCGTTTGACCTACATAGACAGATATAAGTGTAGCACACTTAATTCATTATACAACCAACTAATTATTTTCATTATTTAGGAATTGATTAGCATAAATGTACTTTACTCTCTTTAATGCTCGAGGAACCTATATAATGCAAATGTATGACAACTATGTATGAAAATCACGCTAATAGAGGCCCGGGAGTGGGGTAAATGAAGGAGAAAAATGAAATCGAGGCTGCCAAAACAGCTGCACCTACGGAGCCCCTTGGCCACACATACAGAACTCCCACCGCATGTCCGCACGTGTGCCAGTAGGTGCTTTTATTTTAGAAACTCTTCTTCTTCTCCCTTATTTTCCGCACGTACAGGCCTTCCCGCCGCACGTGCGCCACAACTTCCTGCACGTGCAGTCCTCCCAACCGCACTACACGTGCGGTTTTGGGTGTTCTAGAACTAAAAATTCTGGTCTGTTTTGGGCTTCAAATTCCTAACCAATCAAACCCAAATTTGTACAAAACAAGGCTCAGAACTTACAAAAACAATATGAAAGAGTAAATTCTAAGTTAAAATCAAAGTTATAGCTTTTCATTTAATTCCAATTTCACAAACACAAAATCATAGCTTACTTATGGAGGAGAGCAAACATAAGTTGTAGCTTAGGGTTCAAACTTCATGAAACTTCCTATGCCAACATCAAACTCATGCAGGACATGCAAGATCAAGTGAGAATTATGAGAGATGTGGTGGTTGAGAATATTCTAAGAAAGGTGTATAACTTACGCTATATACACTGCCCAACTTTCCCAATTCCACTCCAAAAATCTTTAATTACATGTGAGGCTTACCTTAATCTTAGGGGTTTAGACAAGATCCCTTACCTTCAATGGTTGCTCTAGTGATTCTCTTTTTTCTTCCCTTCTCTTCTTTGTTGATTCTCTCAAATTCTAAAGTACTCTCTAACTCTCTCAGGTCTAATCTTTCTCAACCTACTTCAATTCAAATATATATAAATTTATCTAATTTACTTAACTTGGATTAATTAATTTAGAATTATGTCAAATAAATGATCTCTTACTATTACCTAAGTTAGTTGAACCATACTTTGTCTAATTAAGGTGAATTAGGTTCTACCCACCTAGTCCATCATTTAATTTATAACCTTATAATTTAGCGAATCAGACAGGTCTAGTTCATATATTCTCATATCTGTCATGTAAAGTATAATTCAAATGGCACATAACTCACAATTAACTCACACATAGGAGCATTTAAGGCAGCAAAATCACATATAAGCACATAAGTAAGATAAGCCACAGAAGTAACTGTTAATTATGAAAATGGGTGTCACAGTCTCTTCCCTTTAGATGTTTGGTCCTCCAAACGCAATTACTTTCTTCTATGAAGAGTGTAGGGTCTAATGGAAAGAGCTCAGGATATTTCTTCTCGATATTTTCTTCTCGTTTCCAAGTTTCATACAGGCCACTGTGGTTTTGCCAGTCTACTTTTAATAACGGGATTTCTTTATTTCTCAACTTCTTGATACGGCGGCTAACAATCCGAATGGGTCGTTCTTCATACGTATAGTCATCATTCACAAGTATCTGAGTAGGTTCAATAACCTGCTGAGGGTCTAAAAAGGATTCTTTTAACATGGAAACATGGAAAACATTATGCATGTATCCCATATCCGAAGGTAAGGCTACCTGATACGCTATTGGATTAAGTTTCTCAATGATCTCATACGGTTCGATAAATCGAGGTGCTAACTCACCCTTGCCTCCAAAACGAGTGTGTCCCTTCATTGGCGTAACTTTGATAAAAACATGGTTGCCTACCTCACATTCTCTTTCCCATCTACATACGTCAGCATAGTGTAGCTCGACTTTTCGCGCCCCTTTTCGGAAGAATGAATAGCCCATACATTTCGGACTCCCACTTGTATTGGTTCTGAATCTGATTTCATAAGTGCAATGTGAAACATTGGAAACAAAAAAAGAGTCTAGATACGGCAATTGTTTTTGGAAAGTCGATGTTTGAATCAAATGCCGAAAATAGACTACTTTGCCAGATTTCAGAGTCACCACCTAAATGTTTATTTTGAGAAATTTAGGAAACCTGTGACTCGTGCCAAAGGCCATTAGGCTGTCGTTACCAAAGTGTCTTGGTTTGGGAACTTAGGTATGAGAGGGGAAGGTCAATAATGAGCACCCCACTCACCCGATCAAAGATCGGCCTCTACTAATTATGATGTGATTCTTATGTATAGTATATGTTCTTATTTTATCTTTAACATACAAGTATAGACTAATTTTACGAACAGTTGGAACGTTTGATTTCATGTGTTGTTTTGAAAAAGTGTTTTGAATATGTACCACTTGAAAAAGTGATCTCATATATATACATTAATCAAAGTATCCTAATGTCAGTGAATGGCCTTCATCCACAGGCATTCAAATAGTTTATCATTTAAGCAATTAGCCTCATGGTAGTATGTTTGGTACGACAGTAATCACATTTATGCAATATGCTAAAGCATAAAAACTTACCTCGTACTCCAAGCCAAAAAATGAACTAGTTAGAAAAAAAAAAAATGATGCATGATCCTAACTATGTATTATGACTAATGCAACACATACAATATGCAATTAATAAGATCGGCTACTAGCGTGGCATGCGAGTCAATTCAAGGCATGTGATAACGCACGTGTTCAAGTAAAGAGGATGCAAACATGAGTGTGCTAAATTAAACATGATGTCCCTATGCTAACCATCATAAGCTGGTAAATAAAATGGAGAAAGACGTAAGGTTGGAAGACATACAACTTATTACATATTTGTCCTCGCGAAGGAGGGTCCGAATGTCCAAGTGTCTGAATAAATAAATATTTCAAATCCGAATGAATAATAATCAAAAGGGGCTGTCTAATTTATTACAACAAATAATATGTAATGATCACATGATGCTCCTCGGGAATTACTCTATCTGCCTTGTTAAGATTTGTTCTATTTCACCTTATCATTGCTTTCAACCAAAAGTGTATTGTTTGCAATTTATTGGAGCCTTGCCGACCCAAAACAACACTTGGTCGAGCCCCAAATAAATCCAAGCATACCTTATTTTCTTTGCGGAAATCTGTTTTTTGTGCCTGAGGTGAAACAGTGCAAACATGCAGACAGGGTATTCCTAGCCATGTTTGTCTTTCTACTCTTCTCTATCATGGAAAATACTCAAGAGATAAGTGAACTCGGTTCTCAAACCATCTATGGTTGCAAGTTGATTTGCAAGATGATTTTGGACATAATAGGACAAAGATCAATAAATGCAATGCATAACAACCACCCCTCCCTCCTATCATGAAGCAAATTCAAGAAGGGAAGTAGAGACGCTTCAAGGTTCATTAAAACATTATGGACTAATGTAAGACAAGCCTTGACACAATAAACTCGGTATAACATCCGACCGAATTCAATCAATCATATTGGTTCTTTATGTTAGTTGATTCATTTTAGGCCCAATTTTATTAGCCTCTTTTATATTACCTTCCCTTTTCTTTAATCCATTAAGTCCACAGTGATATTTACATCCACTAAGTCTGAACTGCAATAAAAGAAAATGAGTGTCGACTTAACCCGAATAAATAAACCTTGTTTTCTTCGAAGGCAATTACACAGGAAGAGTCAAACTTATTTACAAGTTAGGGATTTCAAGTCAAACTTCCTTATCCAATGGACCATCTTCTTTGTCCTGCCCAAACAAGAAATATGAATTTATCCTTAGATCAATTAAAAAAATTATCCTGTTTGAGCCTGTTTTCCAATCTCCCGCTTAAAAAAAAATAAAATGAAAGAAACCTAAACAGGAGAAGATATTCCTATTCATCATCAGACACTGTCTCCACTTGTGCTTCCTTATCCAATGGACCATCTTCTTTGTCCTGCCCAAACAAGAAATATGAATTTATCCTTAGATCAATTAAAAAAATTATCCTGTTTGAGCCTGTTTTCCAATCTCCCGCTTAAAAAAAAATAAAATGAAAGAAACCTAAACAGGAGAAGATATTCCTATTCATCATCAGACACTGTCTCCACTTGTGCTTCCTTATCCAATGGACCATCTTCTTTGTCCTGCCCAAACAAGAAATATGAATTTATCCTTAGATCAATTAAAAAAATTATCCTGTTTGAGCCTGTTTTCCAATCTCCCGCTTAAAAAAAAATAAAATGAAAGAAACCTAAACAGGAGAAGATATTCCTATTCATCATCAGACACTGTCTCCACTTGTGCTTCCTTATCCAATGGACCATCTTCTTTGTCCTGCCCAAACAAGAAATATGAATTTATCCTTAGATCAATTAAAAAAATTATCCTGTTTGAGCCTGTTTTCCAATCTCCCGCTTAAAAAAAAATAAAATGAAAGAAACCTAAACAGGAGAAGATATTCCTATTCATCATCAGACACTGTCTCCACTTGTGCTTCCTTATCCAATGGACCATCTTCTTTGTCCTGCCCAAACAAGAAATATGAATTTATCCTTAGATCAATTAAAAAAATTATCCTGTTTGAGCCTGTTTTCCAATCTCCCGCTTAAAAAAAAATAAAATGAAAGAAACCTAAACAGGAGAAGATATTCCTATTCATCATCAGACACTGTCTCCACTTGTGCTTCCTTATCCAATGGACCATCTTCTTTGTCCTGCCCAAACAAGAAATATGAATTTATCCTTAGATCAATTAAAAAAATTATCCTGTTTGAGCCTGTTTTCCAATCTCCCGCTTAAAAAAAAATAAAATGAAAGAAACCTAAACAGGAGAAGATATTCCTATTCATCATCAGACACTGTCTCCACTTGTGCTTCCTTATCCAATGGACCATCTTCTTTGTCCTGCCCAAACAAGAAATATGAATTTATCCTTAGATCAATTAAAAAAATTATCCTGTTTGAGCCTGTTTTCCAATCTCCCGCTTAAAAAAAAATAAAATGAAAGAAACCTAAACAGGAGAAGATATTCCTATTCATCATCAGACACTGTCTCCACTTGTGCTTCCTTATCCAATGGACCATCTTCTTTGTCCTGCCCAAACAAGAAATATGAATTTATCCTTAGATCAATTAAAAAAATTATCCTGTTTGAGCCTGTTTTCCAATCTCCCGCTTAAAAAAAAATAAAATGAAAGAAACCTAAACAGGAGAAGATATTCCTATTCATCATCAGACACTGTCTCCACTTGTGCTTCCTTATCCAATGGACCATCTTCTTTGTCCTGCCCAAACAAGAAATATGAATTTATCCTTAGATCAATTAAAAAAATTATCCTGTTTGAGCCTGTTTTCCAATCTCCCGCTTAAAAAAAAATAAAATGAAAGAAACCTAAACAGGAGAAGATATTCCTATTCATCATCAGACACTGTCTCCACTTGTGCTTCCTTATCCAATGGACCATCTTCTTTGTCCTGCCCAAACAAGAAATATGAATTTATCCTTAGATCAATTAAAAAAATTATCCTGTTTGAGCCTGTTTTCCAATCTCCCGCTTAAAAAAAAATAAAATGAAAGAAACCTAAACAGGAGAAGATATTCCTATTCATCATCAGACACTGTCTCCACTTGTGCTTCCTTATCCAATGGACCATCTTCTTTGTCCTGCCCAAACAAGAAATATGAATTTATCCTTAGATCAATTAAAAAAATTATCCTGTTTGAGCCTGTTTTCCAATCTCCCGCTTAAAAAAAAATAAAATGAAAGAAACCTAAACAGGAGAAGATATTCCTATTCATCATCAGACACTGTCTCCACTTGTGCTTCCTTATCCAATGGACCATCTTCTTTGTCCTGCCCAAACAAGAAATATGAATTTATCCTTAGATCAATTAAAAAAATTATCCTGTTTGAGCCTGTTTTCCAATCTCCCGCTTAAAAAAAAATAAAATGAAAGAAACCTAAACAGGAGAAGATATTCCTATTCATCATCAGACACTGTCTCCACTTGTGCTTCCTTATCCAATGGACCATCTTCTTTGTCCTGCCCAAACAAGAAATATGAATTTATCCTTAGATCAATTAAAAAAATTATCCTGTTTGAGCCTGTTTTCCAATCTCCCGCTTAAAAAAAAATAAAATGAAAGAAACCTAAACAGGAGAAGATATTCCTATTCATCATCAGACACTGTCTCCACTTGTGCTTCCTTATCCAATGGACCATCTTCTTTGTCCTGCCCAAACAAGAAATATGAATTTATCCTTAGATCAATTAAAAAAATTATCCTGTTTGAGCCTGTTTTCCAATCTCCCGCTTAAAAAAAAATAAAATGAAAGAAACCTAAACAGGAGAAGATATTCCTATTCATCATCAGACACTGTCTCCACTTGTGCTTCCTTATCCAATGGACCATCTTCTTTGTCCTGCCCAAACAAGAAATATGAATTTATCCTTAGATCAATTAAAAAAATTATCCTGTTTGAGCCTGTTTTCCAATCTCCCGCTTAAAAAAAAATAAAATGAAAGAAACCTAAACAGGAGAAGATATTCCTATTCATCATCAGACACTGTCTCCACTTGTGCTTCCTTATCCAATGGACCATCTTCTTTGTCCTGCCCAAACAAGAAATATGAATTTATCCTTAGATCAATTAAAAAAATTATCCTGTTTGAGCCTGTTTTCCAATCTCCCGCTTAAAAAAAAATAAAATGAAAGAAACCTAAACAGGAGAAGATATTCCTATTCATCATCAGACACTGTCTCCACTTGTGCTTCCTTATCCAATGGACCATCTTCTTTGTCCTGCCCAAACAAGAAATATGAATTTATCCTTAGATCAATTAAAAAAATTATCCTGTTTGAGCCTGTTTTCCAATCTCCCGCTTAAAAAAAAATAAAATGAAAGAAACCTAAACAGGAGAAGATATTCCTATTCATCATCAGACACTGTCTCCACTTGTGCTTCCTTATCCAATGGACCATCTTCTTTGTCCTGCCCAAACAAGAAATATGAATTTATCCTTAGATCAATTAAAAAAATTATCCTGTTTGAGCCTGTTTTCCAATCTCCCGCTTAAAAAAAAATAAAATGAAAGAAACCTAAACAGGAGAAGATATTCCTATTCATCATCAGACACTGTCTCCACTTGTGCTTCCTTATCCAATGGACCATCTTCTTTGTCCTGCCCAAACAAGAAATATGAATTTATCCTTAGATCAATTAAAAAAATTATCCTGTTTGAGCCTGTTTTCCAATCTCCCGCTTAAAAAAAAATAAAATGAAAGAAACCTAAACAGGAGAAGATATTCCTATTCATCATCAGACACTGTCTCCACTTGTGCTTCCTTATCCAATGGACCATCTTCTTTGTCCTGCCCAAACAAGAAATATGAATTTATCCTTAGATCAATTAAAAAAATTATCCTGTTTGAGCCTGTTTTCCAATCTCCCGCTTAAAAAAAAATAAAATGAAAGAAACCTAAACAGGAGAAGATATTCCTATTCATCATCAGACACTGTCTCCACTTGTGCTTCCTTATCCAATGGACCATCTTCTTTGTCCTGCCCAAACAAGAAATATGAATTTATCCTTAGATCAATTAAAAAAATTATCCTGTTTGAGCCTGTTTTCCAATCTCCCGCTTAAAAAAAAATAAAATGAAAGAAACCTAAACAGGAGAAGATATTCCTATTCATCATCAGACACTGTCTCCACTTGTGCTTCCTTATCCAATGGACCATCTTCTTTGTCCTGCCCAAACAAGAAATATGAATTTATCCTTAGATCAATTAAAAAAATTATCCTGTTTGAGCCTGTTTTCCAATCTCCCGCTTAAAAAAAAATAAAATGAAAGAAACCTAAACAGGAGAAGATATTCCTATTCATCATCAGACACTGTCTCCACTTGTGCTTCCTTATCCAATGGACCATCTTCTTTGTCCTGCCCAAACAAGAAATATGAATTTATCCTTAGATCAATTAAAAAAATTATCCTGTTTGAGCCTGTTTTCCAATCTCCCGCTTAAAAAAAAATAAAATGAAAGAAACCTAAACAGGAGAAGATATTCCTATTCATCATCAGACACTGTCTCCACTTGTGCTTCCTTATCCAATGGACCATCTTCTTTGTCCTGCCCAAACAAGAAATATGAATTTATCCTTAGATCAATTAAAAAAATTATCCTGTTTGAGCCTGTTTTCCAATCTCCCGCTTAAAAAAAAATAAAATGAAAGAAACCTAAACAGGAGAAGATATTCCTATTCATCATCAGACACTGTCTCCACTTGTGCTTCCTTATCCAATGGACCATCTTCTTTGTCCTGCCCAAACAAGAAATATGAATTTATCCTTAGATCAATTAAAAAAATTATCCTGTTTGAGCCTGTTTTCCAATCTCCCGCTTAAAAAAAAATAAAATGAAAGAAACCTAAACAGGAGAAGATATTCCTATTCATCATCAGACACTGTCTCCACTTGTGCTTCCTTATCCAATGGACCATCTTCTTTGTCCTGCCCAAACAAGAAATATGAATTTATCCTTAGATCAATTAAAAAAATTATCCTGTTTGAGCCTGTTTTCCAATCTCCCGCTTAAAAAAAAATAAAATGAAAGAAACCTAAACAGGAGAAGATATTCCTATTCATCATCAGACACTGTCTCCACTTGTGCTTCCTTATCCAATGGACCATCTTCTTTGTCCTGCCCAAACAAGAAATATGAATTTATCCTTAGATCAATTAAAAAAATTATCCTGTTTGAGCCTGTTTTCCAATCTCCCGCTTAAAAAAAAATAAAATGAAAGAAACCTAAACAGGAGAAGATATTCCTATTCATCATCAGACACTGTCTCCACTTGTGCTTCCTTATCCAATGGACCATCTTCTTTGTCCTGCCCAAACAAGAAATATGAATTTATCCTTAGATCAATTAAAAAAATTATCCTGTTTGAGCCTGTTTTCCAATCTCCCGCTTAAAAAAAAATAAAATGAAAGAAACCTAAACAGGAGAAGATATTCCTATTCATCATCAGACACTGTCTCCACTTGTGCTTCCTTATCCAATGGACCATCTTCTTTGTCCTGCCCAAACAAGAAATATGAATTTATCCTTAGATCAATTAAAAAAATTATCCTGTTTGAGCCTGTTTTCCAATCTCCCGCTTAAAAAAAAATAAAATGAAAGAAACCTAAACAGGAGAAGATATTCCTATTCATCATCAGACACTGTCTCCACTTGTGCTTCCTTATCCAATGGACCATCTTCTTTGTCCTGCCCAAACAAGAAATATGAATTTATCCTTAGATCAATTAAAAAAATTATCCTGTTTGAGCCTGTTTTCCAATCTCCCGCTTAAAAAAAAATAAAATGAAAGAAACCTAAACAGGAGAAGATATTCCTATTCATCATCAGACACTGTCTCCACTTGTGCTTCCTTATCCAATGGACCATCTTCTTTGTCCTGCCCAAACAAGAAATATGAATTTATCCTTAGATCAATTAAAAAAATTATCCTGTTTGAGCCTGTTTTCCAATCTCCCGCTTAAAAAAAAATAAAATGAAAGAAACCTAAACAGGAGAAGATATTCCTATTCATCATCAGACACTGTCTCCACTTGTGCTTCCTTATCCAATGGACCATCTTCTTTGTCCTGCCCAAACAAGAAATATGAATTTATCCTTAGATCAATTAAAAAAATTATCCTGTTTGAGCCTGTTTTCCAATCTCCCGCTTAAAAAAAAATAAAATGAAAGAAACCTAAACAGGAGAAGATATTCCTATTCATCATCAGACACTGTCTCCACTTGTGCTTCCTTATCCAATGGACCATCTTCTTTGTCCTGCCCAAACAAGAAATATGAATTTATCCTTAGATCAATTAAAAAAATTATCCTGTTTGAGCCTGTTTTCCAATCTCCCGCTTAAAAAAAAATAAAATGAAAGAAACCTAAACAGGAGAAGATATTCCTATTCATCATCAGACACTGTCTCCACTTGTGCTTCCTTATCCAATGGACCATCTTCTTTGTCCTGCCCAAACAAGAAATATGAATTTATCCTTAGATCAATTAAAAAAATTATCCTGTTTGAGCCTGTTTTCCAATCTCCCGCTTAAAAAAAAATAAAATGAAAGAAACCTAAACAGGAGAAGATATTCCTATTCATCATCAGACACTGTCTCCACTTGTGCTTCCTTATCCAATGGACCATCTTCTTTGTCCTGCCCAAACAAGAAATATGAATTTATCCTTAGATCAATTAAAAAAATTATCCTGTTTGAGCCTGTTTTCCAATCTCCCGCTTAAAAAAAAATAAAATGAAAGAAACCTAAACAGGAGAAGATATTCCTATTCATCATCAGACACTGTCTCCACTTGTGCTTCCTTATCCAATGGACCATCTTCTTTGTCCTGCCCAAACAAGAAATATGAATTTATCCTTAGATCAATTAAAAAAATTATCCTGTTTGAGCCTGTTTTCCAATCTCCCGCTTAAAAAAAAATAAAATGAAAGAAACCTAAACAGGAGAAGATATTCCTATTCATCATCAGACACTGTCTCCACTTGTGCTTCCTTATCCAATGGACCATCTTCTTTGTCCTGCCCAAACAAGAAATATGAATTTATCCTTAGATCAATTAAAAAAATTATCCTGTTTGAGCCTGTTTTCCAATCTCCCGCTTAAAAAAAAATAAAATGAAAGAAACCTAAACAGGAGAAGATATTCCTATTCATCATCAGACACTGTCTCCACTTGTGCTTCCTTATCCAATGGACCATCTTCTTTGTCCTGCCCAAACAAGAAATATGAATTTATCCTTAGATCAATTAAAAAAATTATCCTGTTTGAGCCTGTTTTCCAATCTCCCGCTTAAAAAAAAATAAAATGAAAGAAACCTAAACAGGAGAAGATATTCCTATTCATCATCAGACACTGTCTCCACTTGTGCTTCCTTATCCAATGGACCATCTTCTTTGTCCTGCCCAAACAAGAAATATGAATTTATCCTTAGATCAATTAAAAAAATTATCCTGTTTGAGCCTGTTTTCCAATCTCCCGCTTAAAAAAAAATAAAATGAAAGAAACCTAAACAGGAGAAGATATTCCTATTCATCATCAGACACTGTCTCCACTTGTGCTTCCTTATCCAATGGACCATCTTCTTTGTCCTGCCCAAACAAGAAATATGAATTTATCCTTAGATCAATTAAAAAAATTATCCTGTTTGAGCCTGTTTTCCAATCTCCCGCTTAAAAAAAAATAAAATGAAAGAAACCTAAACAGGAGAAGATATTCCTATTCATCATCAGACACTGTCTCCACTTGTGCTTCCTTATCCAATGGACCATCTTCTTTGTCCTGCCCAAACAAGAAATATGAATTTATCCTTAGATCAATTAAAAAAATTATCCTGTTTGAGCCTGTTTTCCAATCTCCCGCTTAAAAAAAAATAAAATGAAAGAAACCTAAACAGGAGAAGATATTCCTATTCATCATCAGACACTGTCTCCACTTGTGCTTCCTTATCCAATGGACCATCTTCTTTGTCCTGCCCAAACAAGAAATATGAATTTATCCTTAGATCAATTAAAAAAATTATCCTGTTTGAGCCTGTTTTCCAATCTCCCGCTTAAAAAAAAATAAAATGAAAGAAACCTAAACAGGAGAAGATATTCCTATTCATCATCAGACACTGTCTCCACTTGTGCTTCCTTATCCAATGGACCATCTTCTTTGTCCTGCCCAAACAAGAAATATGAATTTATCCTTAGATCAATTAAAAAAATTATCCTGTTTGAGCCTGTTTTCCAATCTCCCGCTTAAAAAAAAATAAAATGAAAGAAACCTAAACAGGAGAAGATATTCCTATTCATCATCAGACACTGTCTCCACTTGTGCTTCCTTATCCAATGGACCATCTTCTTTGTCCTGCCCAAACAAGAAATATGAATTTATCCTTAGATCAATTAAAAAAATTATCCTGTTTGAGCCTGTTTTCCAATCTCCCGCTTAAAAAAAAATAAAATGAAAGAAACCTAAACAGGAGAAGATATTCCTATTCATCATCAGACACTGTCTCCACTTGTGCTTCCTTATCCAATGGACCATCTTCTTTGTCCTGCCCAAACAAGAAATATGAATTTATCCTTAGATCAATTAAAAAAATTATCCTGTTTGAGCCTGTTTTCCAATCTCCCGCTTAAAAAAAAATAAAATGAAAGAAACCTAAACAGGAGAAGATATTCCTATTCATCATCAGACACTGTCTCCACTTGTGCTTCCTTATCCAATGGACCATCTTCTTTGTCCTGCCCAAACAAGAAATATGAATTTATCCTTAGATCAATTAAAAAAATTATCCTGTTTGAGCCTGTTTTCCAATCTCCCGCTTAAAAAAAAATAAAATGAAAGAAACCTAAACAGGAGAAGATATTCCTATTCATCATCAGACACTGTCTCCACTTGTGCTTCCTTATCCAATGGACCATCTTCTTTGTCCTGCCCAAACAAGAAATATGAATTTATCCTTAGATCAATTAAAAAAATTATCCTGTTTGAGCCTGTTTTCCAATCTCCCGCTTAAAAAAAAATAAAATGAAAGAAACCTAAACAGGAGAAGATATTCCTATTCATCATCAGACACTGTCTCCACTTGTGCTTCCTTATCCAATGGACCATCTTCTTTGTCCTGCCCAAACAAGAAATATGAATTTATCCTTAGATCAATTAAAAAAATTATCCTGTTTGAGCCTGTTTTCCAATCTCCCGCTTAAAAAAAAATAAAATGAAAGAAACCTAAACAGGAGAAGATATTCCTATTCATCATCAGACACTGTCTCCACTTGTGCTTCCTTATCCAATGGACCATCTTCTTTGTCCTGCCCAAACAAGAAATATGAATTTATCCTTAGATCAATTAAAAAAATTATCCTGTTTGAGCCTGTTTTCCAATCTCCCGCTTAAAAAAAAATAAAATGAAAGAAACCTAAACAGGAGAAGATATTCCTATTCATCATCAGACACTGTCTCCACTTGTGCTTCCTTATCCAATGGACCATCTTCTTTGTCCTGCCCAAACAAGAAATATGAATTTATCCTTAGATCAATTAAAAAAATTATCCTGTTTGAGCCTGTTTTCCAATCTCCCGCTTAAAAAAAAATAAAATGAAAGAAACCTAAACAGGAGAAGATATTCCTATTCATCATCAGACACTGTCTCCACTTGTGCTTCCTTATCCAATGGACCATCTTCTTTGTCCTGCCCAAACAAGAAATATGAATTTATCCTTAGATCAATTAAAAAAATTATCCTGTTTGAGCCTGTTTTCCAATCTCCCGCTTAAAAAAAAATAAAATGAAAGAAACCTAAACAGGAGAAGATATTCCTATTCATCATCAGACACTGTCTCCACTTGTGCTTCCTTATCCAATGGACCATCTTCTTTGTCCTGCCCAAACAAGAAATATGAATTTATCCTTAGATCAATTAAAAAAATTATCCTGTTTGAGCCTGTTTTCCAATCTCCCGCTTAAAAAAAAATAAAATGAAAGAAACCTAAACAGGAGAAGATATTCCTATTCATCATCAGACACTGTCTCCACTTGTGCTTCCTTATCCAATGGACCATCTTCTTTGTCCTGCCCAAACAAGAAATATGAATTTATCCTTAGATCAATTAAAAAAATTATCCTGTTTGAGCCTGTTTTCCAATCTCCCGCTTAAAAAAAAATAAAATGAAAGAAACCTAAACAGGAGAAGATATTCCTATTCATCATCAGACACTGTCTCCACTTGTGCTTCCTTATCCAATGGACCATCTTCTTTGTCCTGCCCAAACAAGAAATATGAATTTATCCTTAGATCAATTAAAAAAATTATCCTGTTTGAGCCTGTTTTCCAATCTCCCGCTTAAAAAAAAATAAAATGAAAGAAACCTAAACAGGAGAAGATATTCCTATTCATCATCAGACACTGTCTCCACTTGTGCTTCCTTATCCAATGGACCATCTTCTTTGTCCTGCCCAAACAAGAAATATGAATTTATCCTTAGATCAATTAAAAAAATTATCCTGTTTGAGCCTGTTTTCCAATCTCCCGCTTAAAAAAAAATAAAATGAAAGAAACCTAAACAGGAGAAGATATTCCTATTCATCATCAGACACTGTCTCCACTTGTGCTTCCTTATCCAATGGACCATCTTCTTTGTCCTGCCCAAACAAGAAATATGAATTTATCCTTAGATCAATTAAAAAAATTATCCTGTTTGAGCCTGTTTTCCAATCTCCCGCTTAAAAAAAAATAAAATGAAAGAAACCTAAACAGGAGAAGATATTCCTATTCATCATCAGACACTGTCTCCACTTGTGCTTCCTTATCCAATGGACCATCTTCTTTGTCCTGCCCAAACAAGAAATATGAATTTATCCTTAGATCAATTAAAAAAATTATCCTGTTTGAGCCTGTTTTCCAATCTCCCGCTTAAAAAAAAATAAAATGAAAGAAACCTAAACAGGAGAAGATATTCCTATTCATCATCAGACACTGTCTCCACTTGTGCTTCCTTATCCAATGGACCATCTTCTTTGTCCTGCCCAAACAAGAAATATGAATTTATCCTTAGATCAATTAAAAAAATTATCCTGTTTGAGCCTGTTTTCCAATCTCCCGCTTAAAAAAAAATAAAATGAAAGAAACCTAAACAGGAGAAGATATTCCTATTCATCATCAGACACTGTCTCCACTTGTGCTTCCTTATCCAATGGACCATCTTCTTTGTCCTGCCCAAACAAGAAATATGAATTTATCCTTAGATCAATTAAAAAAATTATCCTGTTTGAGCCTGTTTTCCAATCTCCCGCTTAAAAAAAAATAAAATGAAAGAAACCTAAACAGGAGAAGATATTCCTATTCATCATCAGACACTGTCTCCACTTGTGCTTCCTTATCCAATGGACCATCTTCTTTGTCCTGCCCAAACAAGAAATATGAATTTATCCTTAGATCAATTAAAAAAATTATCCTGTTTGAGCCTGTTTTCCAATCTCCCGCTTAAAAAAAAATAAAATGAAAGAAACCTAAACAGGAGAAGATATTCCTATTCATCATCAGACACTGTCTCCACTTGTGCTTCCTTATCCAATGGACCATCTTCTTTGTCCTGCCCAAACAAGAAATATGAATTTATCCTTAGATCAATTAAAAAAATTATCCTGTTTGAGCCTGTTTTCCAATCTCCCGCTTAAAAAAAAATAAAATGAAAGAAACCTAAACAGGAGAAGATATTCCTATTCATCATCAGACACTGTCTCCACTTGTGCTTCCTTATCCAATGGACCATCTTCTTTGTCCTGCCCAAACAAGAAATATGAATTTATCCTTAGATCAATTAAAAAAATTATCCTGTTTGAGCCTGTTTTCCAATCTCCCGCTTAAAAAAAAATAAAATGAAAGAAACCTAAACAGGAGAAGATATTCCTATTCATCATCAGACACTGTCTCCACTTGTGCTTCCTTATCCAATGGACCATCTTCTTTGTCCTGCCCAAACAAGAAATATGAATTTATCCTTAGATCAATTAAAAAAATTATCCTGTTTGAGCCTGTTTTCCAATCTCCCGCTTAAAAAAAAATAAAATGAAAGAAACCTAAACAGGAGAAGATATTCCTATTCATCATCAGACACTGTCTCCACTTGTGCTTCCTTATCCAATGGACCATCTTCTTTGTCCTGCCCAAACAAGAAATATGAATTTATCCTTAGATCAATTAAAAAAATTATCCTGTTTGAGCCTGTTTTCCAATCTCCCGCTTAAAAAAAAATAAAATGAAAGAAACCTAAACAGGAGAAGATATTCCTATTCATCATCAGACACTGTCTCCACTTGTGCTTCCTTATCCAATGGACCATCTTCTTTGTCCTGCCCAAACAAGAAATATGAATTTATCCTTAGATCAATTAAAAAAATTATCCTGTTTGAGCCTGTTTTCCAATCTCCCGCTTAAAAAAAAATAAAATGAAAGAAACCTAAACAGGAGAAGATATTCCTATTCATCATCAGACACTGTCTCCACTTGTGCTTCCTTATCCAATGGACCATCTTCTTTGTCCTGCCCAAACAAGAAATATGAATTTATCCTTAGATCAATTAAAAAAATTATCCTGTTTGAGCCTGTTTTCCAATCTCCCGCTTAAAAAAAAATAAAATGAAAGAAACCTAAACAGGAGAAGATATTCCTATTCATCATCAGACACTGTCTCCACTTGTGCTTCCTTATCCAATGGACCATCTTCTTTGTCCTGCCCAAACAAGAAATATGAATTTATCCTTAGATCAATTAAAAAAATTATCCTGTTTGAGCCTGTTTTCCAATCTCCCGCTTAAAAAAAAATAAAATGAAAGAAACCTAAACAGGAGAAGATATTCCTATTCATCATCAGACACTGTCTCCACTTGTGCTTCCTTATCCAATGGACCATCTTCTTTGTCCTGCCCAAACAAGAAATATGAATTTATCCTTAGATCAATTAAAAAAATTATCCTGTTTGAGCCTGTTTTCCAATCTCCCGCTTAAAAAAAAATAAAATGAAAGAAACCTAAACAGGAGAAGATATTCCTATTCATCATCAGACACTGTCTCCACTTGTGCTTCCTTATCCAATGGACCATCTTCTTTGTCCTGCCCAAACAAGAAATATGAATTTATCCTTAGATCAATTAAAAAAATTATCCTGTTTGAGCCTGTTTTCCAATCTCCCGCTTAAAAAAAAATAAAATGAAAGAAACCTAAACAGGAGAAGATATTCCTATTCATCATCAGACACTGTCTCCACTTGTGCTTCCTTATCCAATGGACCATCTTCTTTGTCCTGCCCAAACAAGAAATATGAATTTATCCTTAGATCAATTAAAAAAATTATCCTGTTTGAGCCTGTTTTCCAATCTCCCGCTTAAAAAAAAATAAAATGAAAGAAACCTAAACAGGAGAAGATATTCCTATTCATCATCAGACACTGTCTCCACTTGTGCTTCCTTATCCAATGGACCATCTTCTTTGTCCTGCCCAAACAAGAAATATGAATTTATCCTTAGATCAATTAAAAAAATTATCCTGTTTGAGCCTGTTTTCCAATCTCCCGCTTAAAAAAAAATAAAATGAAAGAAACCTAAACAGGAGAAGATATTCCTATTCATCATCAGACACTGTCTCCACTTGTGCTTCCTTATCCAATGGACCATCTTCTTTGTCCTGCCCAAACAAGAAATATGAATTTATCCTTAGATCAATTAAAAAAATTATCCTGTTTGAGCCTGTTTTCCAATCTCCCGCTTAAAAAAAAATAAAATGAAAGAAACCTAAACAGGAGAAGATATTCCTATTCATCATCAGACACTGTCTCCACTTGTGCTTCCTTATCCAATGGACCATCTTCTTTGTCCTGCCCAAACAAGAAATATGAATTTATCCTTAGATCAATTAAAAAAATTATCCTGTTTGAGCCTGTTTTCCAATCTCCCGCTTAAAAAAAAATAAAATGAAAGAAACCTAAACAGGAGAAGATATTCCTATTCATCATCAGACACTGTCTCCACTTGTGCTTCCTTATCCAATGGACCATCTTCTTTGTCCTGCCCAAACAACAAATATGAATTTATCCTTAGATCAATTAAAAAAATTATCCTGTTTGAGCCTGTTTTCCAATCTCCCGCTTAAAAAAAAATAAAATGAAAGAAACCTAAACAGGAGAAGATATTCCTATTCATCATCAGACACTGTCTCCACTTGTGCTTCCTTATCCAATGGACCATCTTCTTTGTCCTGCCCAAACAACAAATATGAATTTATCCTTAGATCAATTAAAAAAATTATCCTGTTTGAGCCTGTTTTCCAATCTCCCGCTTAAAAAAAAATAAAATGAAAGAAACCTAAACAGGAGAAGATATTCCTATTCATCATCAGACACTGTCTCCACTTGTGCTTCCTTATCCAATGGACCATCTTCTTTGTCCTGCCCAAACAACAAATATGAATTTATCCTTAGATCAATTAAAAAAATTATCCTGTTTGAGCCTGTTTTCCAATCTCCCGCTTAAAAAAAAATAAAATGAAAGAAACCTAAACAGGAGAAGATATTCCTATTCATCATCAGACACTGTCTCCACTTGTGCTTCCTTATCCAATGGACCATCTTCTTTGTCCTGCCCAAACAACAAATATGAATTTATCCTTAGATCAATTAAAAAAATTATCCTGTTTGAGCCTGTTTTCCAATCTCCCGCTTAAAAAAAAATAAAATGAAAGAAACCTAAACAGGAGAAGATATTCCTATTCATCATCAGACACTGTCTCCACTTGTGCTTCCTTATCCAATGGACCATCTTCTTTGTCCTGCCCAAACAACAAATATGAATTTATCCTTAGATCAATTAAAAAAATTATCCTGTTTGAGCCTGTTTTCCAATCTCCCGCTTAAAAAAAAAAATAAAATGAAAGAAACCTAAACAGGAGAAGATATTCCTATTCATCATCAGACACTGTCTCCACTTGTGCTTCCTTATCCAATGGACCATCTTCTTTGTCCTGCCCAAACAACAAATATGAATTTATCCATAGATCAATTAACATATGCATTAATTGAGAAAGATAAAACAAATCAAATAGAATATATAAATTAGAAAAAACTTGGGCATCAAGAAGAAACTTACATCTGCATTTTGAACATCCTTATCTGAAATCAAAGCCTTGTCATACTCTGCTTTAAGCTCTGCAGCTCTATCCAGATAAGAAACTTACATCTGCATTTTACTTTCTTTCTACAAGAAAAAAAAAAAAAGTGTTCAGAGATCAAATTAAGAAACCCCCAAACATGCAAAATGATCTAAATATCAATATGTAACATGAAACAAACATAAGGTGGAAGTCAATTTACTTTTCTGCTGGTATTGCATCACATGGCTTTTCATTTTCCAACATTTGTGCATCTGTAACAAAAACCCAAGAAAAAAAAATGAACCATTATAAAAGAGAGGGAAAAAAGGAAAAGAAAAAGAAAAATCAATAACTGAACCATAAGAATCATAAACAGGGACAATTAGTATATGGTTTTATGTATTTCTATTATGTGGGTATGTATATCTACTACGAATATGCAGACAAGAAGATAGAAACATAACAAAGTGATGGACAAAAATTGGAAGGGGAAAGAAATACATACCAAGAGACCTCTCAATTTGAGCTTCAATGTGGCAATCGTGCCAGCCAATCAGGACAACAGGCACCTGTCTGCTGCACTTTTCACTGCACCTATAATATATAATTAATTTAACAAATCAAATTTCCCATCATAATTTTTACATTCAATTATCCATCTCCCAACCCATAACCATTATCGATAAAAACAAAAAAATGTTGATATAAAATTAATGAACTTTATTGAATCACTAATGAACTTTATTGAAGTTATTCTAGGAGATATCTTTGCATGCTTTAGTATTTCAATCAGAAAATTATAGCAGAAGTGCTTCTTCAAAAAGAAGGCCAGCTCACTAGTGTGAAAATTCAAATCATCACACAACATATCAAATAATATCTACTACATCCAAAGAACGCCAACTCACTTGTGGGTAAAGATCACAGGTCCCCAACTCTTTCACTACCAAAGGTTATCTTTCTCCACCAGTAACCTGAGAAGAAAAAAGCACAGTGAATTTCAATATCACCTTGAGCAGAAATCGTTGTAGTTTTATTCAGAAAAAGATGAGAACAAAATTGAATCAAACCTCATAATCTGCACCAACACTCCTAATATTAACAGTCTGAATTTCATTGTGCTTAGCCCATATGATTTTTCCACTATTGTCCATACTAGCTACAGGTTCCTCTCGACCAAAAGCCCCAATTGTTCAATAGCCTCAACAAAGATTGAAGACTTCAAGAAACAAAACAAAAAAGAAGACGAAGAAGAAGAAGAAGAAGAAGAAGAAGAAGAAAAAGTGGAAGACATCATAAATAACTATATCAACCTATCCCAAAAAAAAAAAAAAATTTAAATTAAAACTCTTAAAAGAAGGGACAAGTGTGAACAAAACCAATAAACAAAGAAAGAAACTATGCAAGTTGTCTCTCTCTCTCTCTCCCCTTGTGTGTGTCTGTATGTGCGAATGACTTAGTGATATTTTACTTCCTTTCAGGCCAAAGAACTGGATGCAAACTCCGAATATTATGTAGAGCTGTTAGCAAAAGGAACTGGGAAATCAAAGGAAGAAATCAGTAAAGACGTCCAGCGCCCCAAATAAGAAGCATAACAAATCAGAAAATGCGCAAATCTCTTAGAAGATTTGTTTTATTTCAAATTTCTTAAAAAATCTTTCAGAACTTATCGCAAGACAAAAAAGAAAGTCCTCAGACCATAATAAAACTGACGGCAAATCTACAGCCTCATGGCCACACCATACTTGCTGAGCCTTTCCTATAATAAAACTAAAGAACATAGAAAGACAACTGACTTATCAGAAAAGAAAAGAACCAAGAAAGAAAACTAGAATTATATTTATAAATCAACATTTTACAAACTTCAAAGTCTATGGTTTCTTCGACCTCTTTTAATTGATTAGCCCCTAAGTTCTCATGACTCATGAACTCCAAAAGGGAAGGCAAGCAAACCATGGCCTGAAACTTATCTGAGAGAGACACACTCTTACATGAATTCAATGCAAGAAAGATGCACAGCTAAAGAATACAAATACCAAAAACCAAAGTTCAGTCAATATCACTTGTCTAGTTACTAGTCAAAGAAGTAATGAACTACACAACCAGAAGAAAGTAGAGCCAAAAAACTGATAATTACAATTTTGTACAAATTTCAGCACAGCTTCATTTAAGCATTAGAAGGATAGTGCATCTAATCAATTAGAGCATAAGTTCAATAGTTAGGCCAATTAACATTCAAGAAGCTGGTAGAATACCTAAGAGTTATCAACTTCAAAAACATACCAGGCATCATCTGGATTTGTGGAGTCACACATAGTTGCACGAGATTCTCGCTCAGAGCAATACTCCTTGTTTACTCTTTTCCTCCCGATGGCAATTTCACCCTTCTCATGCTTCTTTTCCCAGCAAAGAAATTTGGCAATCTCTTCAATCTTCCTCTGTTCCTCCTTAAGTTCCTCTTTTGGGCGCTGCCATGCTTCATAATTTACCCTCCAGTTGATGGGTGGACCTGAAAGCACCCAGTATCCTCCAGGTCTAAGAACTCGATCAACTTCCATCATGTACATTCCATCTGCAAAGACAAGTCCAACAATGCTGTTTGCAAACATGTACACTTAAAAGTATATCCATAATATATATTATATCAATCACTCACTCAAAAGGAAAACAAAAGAAGAAAAAATGTGATCATTTATCAAGACCCAAACTTGATCATTAGAATGCACACCCAAAAAAATAGAAGGAAATAACATCATTAGAATAACAGTGTCGTAATTTTGGTTCGTGAGTCTGCAAACTAGTCATTCTAACACATCAAAATCTTATATAATCCACTCATCTTGAGTTAGGCTTTGCACAGAAGTAGCTTTTGAACTTATCTGAACCAAAACTCAAGATTAATGTGTTTAAACAGGCACATCTAGACACATTTCTGGCTATGTGCTCCACACATGAGCTCATCGATATATCACTACATATGCTCATTGACATCTCATTACAGAGATACTAAAGTGCAAAGCTCATTAGCAGGAACAACTAATTAGCTAGCAATGCCATAGGATCTAAACATAGGACAATTCTATTTATTTATTGATAATTTACAAAATGATGTATATCGTAAATATTAGACTCCAGTCATTCATCAAAATTGAGCCAAACCTATGTCAGTGATAATAATGATTGACGATCAAAGCCAAGCTTTAGCATCTTGGCTCATCAAAGCATTTTTAATCCTAAAAATAACTAGACAAAAGGCAAGGAAAGTCTTGGTTTTGCTACAGCTCACTTAGAAACCACCCATGACACAAAATAGCACAAAGAAAACTACTGAAGTAACTATACTCACCATTTCCACCCCATGGAATCAGGCAACGAGAACAGTGAGCCATGTCAAATGCTCTTGATGGGTATGGTAGCTTTATTGTTCCAAGAACACCTATAATTGCTGGCACGCCTCTTTCCAAACAAAATTGAACTTGTGCTTCATGCGAATCTCTTGGTGCGAATGACATAGCTATGACATTTTTTTTGAACAGGTATGCACCCCAACTTGCAACCTAACAGCAATAAATAAATAAACAATATATATAAACTATAAAGCCACAGGCCAGACAAAACAAGCTGCACATCAAGGAACTATATAGATTAATATAAATCTTATTAAGGGAAAAAAGAAAATTAAACCCCTAATAAAAAGGGGAGCATGTCTGTATACATGAACTCGAAAAAAAGGGTTCAATTAAGCAATAATGGGTTCAATTCAAAGCATAAGCACACATACGCAAGGTACGAGAAAGAAATAATCACTTACAAAAAATTAGATAGACACTTTCAAACTTTCACATAAATAATTTTATATAATTAAGCAATAACAGCCAGATGACCATGATACATAATACATAATACAAGACGTGTGAGCTATCTACATTCACACTCTCTAGGGTTTTACTCAAATTCAAGCACATTCTGAGAAATGCATTCCAGAAAACGAGGTTCCATGATTTCAACCCATACCCATAACAAGATACTATGCAAACAACTACCAAGCTAGCTTAATCTTATCCATATTATTATAGAATATAAGAACACATTTGCAAGCTCTGAAGACTGTTATGAATGAATGTTCTTGCTCTCTCCCATAGCTCTGGTCTAGTTACGAGGTTTCAAATTATTTTGAAACAAGAAAACAAACAAAAAACAACACTACAAGTGTACAATATTTAACCCTATTTTCTGACATGACTTTTGAAGTAAAAAAAGCTTCGATTAAAAATAGAAAAATCACCCCTTTTGACAAATAGATTTTTCCTTGCCATCTCTGTGTGCAAAACAGACTTTGATTCCTCATCAAACACATACATCTCTACAACACCCAAAACCAAACCAATAATAATTTAGTACAACAGAGATTGATTAATCAAAACAAATAATATAGGTAAAGATTGTGAAGATGAGAACCTGAAGGGCATCTTTGGCAGCAATGGCAAAAGGAGGAGTAGTGAGAGAGGCGAAACCGAAGGATGTTCACCTTTGCATTAACCTGCGAAGCCTCGTAACGAGGAACATCTGAGAAGGTTCTGGAGTTCTCTCTCCTTTACTCCTCGGGGGGCCCGATATGAAGATCGTTCGAACCAAGAAACCATCAATGGATCTACTAATGATTTGAAAATGAATCGATCGAATTGATGAGATGAAATTGAAAATGTACCTCGTCGTTGGAGAGGCGATTAGGGTTTTCCATGGGCATGGAATGGTGGTGAAGAGAGGAGCAGCCGTGGGAGTAGAGGAGGTGGAGAAAGTCCGGCGGCCACTGCGGATGGTAGGGGTGGATTTTTGATCGTTTGAACCTAGAAACCAAACACAGTGATGAATCTAATGGATCTACTAATGATTTGAAAATGAATCATCGAATTGATGAGATGAAATTGAAAATGACCTCGTCGTTGGAGAGGCGTTAGGGTTTTCCATGGGCATGGAATGGTGGTGAAGAGGAGGAGCAGCCGTGGGAGTAGGAGAGGTGGAGAACAGCCGCTGGTGGCCACTGTAGATGGTAAGGGTGGATTTTTGATAGGGTTTTTTTTTGGGGGGAGGAAGGAGAGAGGGAAAAAACAAGCGCGAAGGGAAAAATAAAGCTGAGCACTCAGATTGCTTTTTTTTTTTTTGCGACGGTAGTTCATGCCGTCCCAAAAACTTGATGGGAAGTGGTGCATCGCTTGAACCCGATATATGGCGACGACAGGAGGTACCGTCGCAAAAACTCACTTTTTGCGACGGTAATAGTGTCGTCGCACAATACTTCCGTGTATACGCCCTTTTTCTTGTAGTGAATAATGTTCATCAATTCCACAATTAAATCAGATAATAATTAATTAAAATCCAAATCACCTTGATTAACTAAATTAAAATATTATACGTGGCAAGTCGTCACACATATTCCTACGTGATATACTCTTGCAATTCTAGCCGTTACACACCTACTCTTTCTTATTTTTTTCTCTTAATATTACAAAAAAAAAACCAATAAAATTGGAAGGACAAACAACCTAATTAGAATTCCTAGAAAAGAACACCCTGTTTGATTTTGAGTTTTCAAAAAATAATTTTTGATTTTCAATTCGTTATTTTGTATTTTTAATGATTTTTAAAAATATTTTAATTCATATTTTTTATTTTATTTTTAGATCCACAATTCTTATTTTAATAAAACTTTAAAAGTAAAAAATTTGTACAAAAAATTTTAAAAATTCATTGAATTACAAAAAAATACGAAAATGTATTGAATATATATATATATTGTATTTAATGAATTTTTTTAAGTTCTTTTTTTTTCATAAATATTATACTTTTTAAATATATTTAGATTAGATATATTTAAAAAATAAAATATTTACGTAAATACTAAAAACATTCACTAAAAATAAAAACAATATAAAAATAAAAAATTTAATTTTTTAGAAAACAAATTTAATTCCCTCAAAACAAACATGGTGAATATTGTAACGCCTCAAAATAATAACAATAATCCCACCAGAAAAGACATGCATTTACATTTAACTAACCACATTCCTTTCATTCATTAGAATTCCATTACATAAGTATTACATGTTAACCTCATAACAAATTGCCCTACGGGCTTACAGCTTTCCAATTAACACTTGGTTACAAACAAAGAGTTCTAACTCGTTTACACATTTAAGCCCTTGGCTTGAAATTACATGTAATACATCAAAGTAAAACGACAAAACTATGCCCGCCACAAGCCTCCCAGCTATGTCCTTGGAGGTGGCATGCTTCCTGTACCTGAAAATGATGTTCCCATATAGGGTGAGCCACAGCCCAGTAGAATACACTAAACCAACCATGGACAATGACTAAAACATTAGCAATTGCTAGTTGGTCACCACTGATTCAATCACATAAATTACATATTTATGTCACGACTTACAAGCCCAATTACTTTTCATTTTTCCCTTTTTCAACAGATAAGCATGCTAGCCTCATCATCATTTCCACAGATATGTATAAAAATATATCTTACATTCAGATAAGCATTAAAGCTATATCCACATTCTCAACAGATATGTATATCAACATATCCACAGATAAGCATACAAGCTGTATCCACACTCTACAACAGATATGTATATCAACAATATCCACAGATAAGCATACAAGCTGTATCCACACTTCACAACACTTCACAAAGATAAGCATATGAGCTCTATCTTCACTTCTCTTAGACAAGCATATAGCTCTGTCTACGGGAGTACATCCCCTATCTCCTCCAAATAACCTATCCGGTTTAGAGGTCCATCCCCTATCTTCCTTAAACCGCGGGAGTACATCCCCTATCTCCTCCTCTACACACAACGTATATAAACACATTGGGTTCTATGTACAATCACACAATACAAACAATTATGTATTCTAGCAACTGTCAAGTTTCATAACACATTCCTTGATTAGTTTTCAGTTTGCCTAATCAACATACATTGTCTACAACAATCACGACTATCCTCCACCGATTAGCCCAAAGCAATTATTTCTAAAACAGAAAATAAATGCACAAATGGATATTCAATCAACATTTCATTTCCTCATTTCTCATCAATTAATTATCCCAATTAATTAAACAATGTAATTAGGCTATTTTCCATAATTACCATTTCACACCTTAGGTCCCATTTTTATCAATGATTCAACACAATCATTCCATTTTTCTATGCCAAACATGCATCTAGGATTTTATTATAATAAAACCCCAACCTTTGTAAAATTACACAAAAGCCCAACCTTTACAAGATTACTAAACCAGCCCAACATCTCAAAATACTAAAATTTAAAGACAAAACCCATAGAGAGGAGTAGGTATTCCCTACCTCAAATTCGGAGCCCCAAAGGAGATGAAGACAAAAACCAAAATGCTCCAAACCTCAAAATTTTCAGATCAAAAGAAGCTCTCGACGATCAACACAACCTTTTGAAGACAAAAGGTGAGTAAACGATCCTTTACTAGATCAAAACTAAGAGAGAAGGTAGAGTCTAGGAGTGAGAAGCTCTGAAAATGGCTTTTTGGAAAAGTAAGAGAGAGAAGAGAAAGCAAAAAGTGATTTGAAAAAGTCACAATTTCGGAACTTTAACCCAGGTCTCCGCTCGAGCGTAAAAACCCCGCTCGAGCGGCACTTCACAGACGTACGCTCGAGCGGCCAACCTCCCGCTCGAGCGCAGAATGCACTCGCTCAGCACTTTTGCAGAACCAGACCTACGCTCGAGCTCCCAACCCTATGCTCAGGCTCACAACAACTGCACAACAAGATACTGGGATGGATGTAATCTACGCTCGAGCGCCAACCTACGCTCGAGCGTACAGGCCAAAATCTGGGCAACTAGTTTTGATTTCTAAACTCAAACCAACCTGTAACAAACCCGTCAACACATCCTATAACTCACAATACAAAGTAAGAAAGGATGTTAAACAAGGTAATAAACAACTACCAACATCCACGGACACATGTCCGGATCACTATATAACAAGGGTAAACGGGATCGCTATAACCTCCCCCCCTTAAAGAATTTCGTCCCCGAAATTAAACACAAGTTTTCAAAACAAGTTTCCTCCATTTTAAACATGTTACATTTTAACATTCAACAATTCGACCCATTACGGTCATCCCATCCCTTTAACAAGAGACATATACAATATGTAAACAACATATGTACTTTCAACATGCATCAACATTATGCACTATCCTTCCAATTTCAACAATATATTCAACAGATAAAATGTTACATTCAACTTCCATATGAGGCAAGTTCCAAACATACCTTCAATAAACCAAACATTTTCAATGTTTCACAACTTAAGACATATAATAAGCTCTTAAGTTCAACAAAATGTAAAATTCAAATACAAGATCACATATCATAAACAAGTCCGGATATTTTTTCTCGGACTTCCAACTCACGTTCCCAAGTGGCTTCCCCACTCCGTAATGTTTCCACAAGACTCTTCACCAAAGGAATGGTCTTGCCACGCAGGACCTGTCCCGCCTATCCAAGACCCGAATCGGTCTCTCCTCATACGAGGCATCCTCATCTACCTCTAAATCAGTCCAATCCATACATGTGATGGATCTGGCTCATACTTCGAAGCATACTCACATGAAACACGTCATGCACTCCGGACAACTGCGGCGGTAAGGCTAACCGATAAGCAACCTCACCTATCCTTTCAAGGATCTCAAAAGACAATAAACCGAGGGGATAACTTCCCACTCTTCCCAAACCTCATCAGGCCTCGCCTAGGTGATATCTTCAGAAAGACATGATCACATCTCTCTCTTTT